TATGTGTCTATAATGTATATGTCTATGATGTATTAAAGTGTCTAAAATGTATAGACTAAAATACTAATAATGATTATGGCTGGGGATGGAAATAAAGGTTAGTCTTTGCTATGCTGAACAAATACTATGTAGTAAGTCAAATACTTCCTGCTGATAGATAGGTATATAATAGCCTATAACAATCAGCTGCCTGTGTGCCCACAATCATTTTATTGTTTTTTTTTTTTTTTCAGAATGTTTCAAAATATCTCTGGAACAAGACCAGTGGGACCACCAAATATCTATCTAGCCTTTCCTTCTTTCCATGCAAATGAAGAAAAAGTCTCCTGATTCAGCTTTGGTAAAATCCTCCCTGGAGTTCAGAATTACAGGGCTTCCTGCTCCTCCATTTGGGAAAAGGAGGGGTGGCCCATGTAGTTTCCTCAGAATTGGATTCAGAACCTCCTCTCAAAAGTTGCCTTGAACAGCAGATGCCAAAACAAAAGGTACCACCTCAAGGGTGGAAGCGGTGTCTGCAGCTTTGTAGACACATGTGTTCTTCCAGTCAACTGGAGAATTGCAATGCAGTGCTATGCACCATGGCCAGGTTCTCTCAGAAGCCAGCACTGGATGTCTTTCAGTGTATGTTCTTACAATATTTGTCAATGCAAACCAGTGGCTTAGCTCAGAATGGGAAAAGGCTGTTCTTTATTTATAATCCGTGCTTCAAACTAAGACCAAGAATTCAAAATTCACTTCATTTCTTTTCCACATATTGAAGTCACTGCTGAAGCGACTCTCCTTCTTCATCCTACTGGCCCCTGTGGAAAGCTCTCAGAACCCAGGTGTAAATCACTAACTCAAGCCATCCTCAGAGTTAGAGGATATTTGGGGACATCTGGCCTGATAATCTAAAGGTTAAAATTATCTTATTTTACTTCTTATGTCTTTATAGCATCAAAATAGCCTGCAACACTTGGTTGCAAATCCAGGTTCTGCCACTTACTATTCACTTTGTGACCTTGCCTGAGTTATTTTATGTCTCTGAGGTTCCTTATCTACTGATAGTGATAATAACACCGACTTCATAAGACACTCTAAGAACTCAGTGGGATAAGGTGTGTAAAAGTAGCTAGGAGAATATCTGACATCAAGCAAGGGCTAAAAAATAGTTTCCATACCACCCCATCTCTTCTTTCTACCTATAGTTGTTTAGACAACCTGTTAGTGCTGAATTTTCAAGAAATTTGCTAGTTCATTACACAGTAGCTATAGATAAAAGCTGTGACTACTTCTCAACTGCAGACAGGCTCAAATCATCTCACAGATGACTCAACACCATTGATAAATGATGTATACTTGGCATCAGGAGACCCTATCCTGATAACTTCAGCACTTTATGAAAGAAACAAAATATATCCAGAAAGCCAGTTGAACAGCTTCCAGAGAAGGGCCCAAAGCTTTGTGGTGACCTTTAGTTAATGCCAAATGCTGTACCAGGCTGGTCATAAGAGGGTCTCTGTCTGCTCAGAAATGTCTCAAGTCGCAGGTTTAGCAATGGGAAAGACTCGAGCTGAGCAGCTGCCTGGTTGCTCTCAAGGCCAAACCAGAGCACAGTGCTTATACTTGTCTTGAATTCCATGAGGTTATAAGACTCCCTCAGACAAAGGCTAGATGCTTGTTCCCTGCTGCCCTTAAGCTGATGCCCAACCTGTCTTTGGCAGATTTGTCTGGTAAGCTGAAGTTCTGCCAGAGTGGGGTTTTAACTGGAGGTCTCTGTGGCCATGGGACAAATCTTGGTAAAGAGTGAGTGGTTTGGGCCACTGTCAATGAGGCCAAATTGGTCTCTGCTCTTTGCAGTTTCCGTAGCTCCTTCAGACCATCTGGAACCCACTGCACAGGATTGGAGCTTCTAGTAATTTCATTTTGCATACATGCCTTGTGCCTCTTCAGTGCTTGACTCAGTTCCGAATGACTGCTTAGCATGAAGTCCTTGGGGCCAGGATGGTCTGTTGCTGCATTTAAGATCTGCTGTCACTGGGAGCCTCGTGAAATTGTTAAGATCAAATAGGGCAAGGAACTGGATGGGACTGATACTACCTACAGCCACAGGTCAACAATTGAGGCCTTGTGGGGGGATTCTACATGCTATGTAGGCTACTTTCTTCTGAAGCAGGGGCTTCCTCTATCAGGTTGTGTGTGGACTCAGACCAAGGCCCAGTGCTTTTCATTGTGTATAATAGACTTCTTCTGCAAGGGAGAAAACATCCGGTCCCTTAGCTGGAGCTCTGTGATGCCATTCTCAGACACTTCCATCTTTCAATCTAAATAGCTTCCAGAGATTCTAAACTAGCTAGAGGTACAAGCAATTCAGTGTGACCAAACCGCCAGTAAAACTTTCAGGAAAGCACAATAATTGATCTTTGGGGATTGGCTGAGCAAGCCAATCCACATCCTCCTAAGTAGGCAGGTAAACGGAGGCACCTGAGCCTCCCTTTTTAATAGTCCCTGTGCTCTGAGCCTTCAAGCTTAGAGTCTAGCACTCCTCACCGGATCTGGAGGTGACAGAAAGCAAGGAAGGAAAGAGCGAGAGCAGGCTAGAGAGAAATGAGGAGAGCATGAAAAAGAGTTGGGAAAGAGGAAAACGAGAGCTGGAAGGAGAGAATGAACAATGAAGGTCTCAGGCCCTCTGAGGCAGACGGTTCCAGCTGCACATCCCTCTGTCTGTCTCCCTGCCTCTGGCCAGCAGCTGCTGCCTGCACAGCGTGAGGGCGCTGAGTCTTTGTCCTGGCACAGCAAGCCGGCGTGCAGATGGGGGAGCCTGGATAGCATCTGCAAAACGCTTTTTTTTTCTTTCTTTCCACTTTCTTTAAGGCTATGTGCTGACTCCCACGTAGGAGAACTTACTAAACTGCTGGCGCTACTTCCACCACTCTCGGGGACCACGCGTGACTAACAGCAGTGGGCGCTAGGGATCCACTTATGGATGCTAGGGCCCAGTGAGGACTTGGGCTCTAAGGAGAAGGTTTTCCAGAGATGTGCGAACATTTTGTTGACTTTACCTGAGTAGCTTTTTAATACCTGTAGCTGTAACATAAACTCTACTTACATTTAGGTTATGCCTTAGCTTAGGTTCAATGAGGAACCTCATAAAATTGGGAGTATTTTGTGCAACCTAGCAGACCCAGTCTGGCCTAACTACTGGGGCTCACCCTACCCAACCTGTTCTGGCTGCCACACAAGCTGGTGAACTCCCACCCAAGACACTCGTTTTGTACACCCAGATGGACAACAGAGCTCGTGACAGAAACATAACTCAAGCATAAGTCTCTATTTCTCATGGAACTTGTTTTTTTTTGTGCTCAGGGACATCTATGTCTCTTTGATGCACTTAAAAGACCTGATACTTTCTAGGACCGTGGTATAACTGATGTCCTGAGATGAATGGAGAAAGACTCAAAATTCCCATCAATTAAATCATAACAGAAAGCTTGATGAGTCTCAAGACAAGATGAGAAAGATGCACTGTTGTCCCTATCAAGAGGAAGAAAATGTCATCGGGAACTCCTTATGAGAAAGAGAGGGAAATTGTCAACTAGTTTCACACTAAGTGACAATACCATATTTAGAACTGTCTGACTAAAGTCACCATCAGAATAGATTGACTAAAGTGCTCTGCCATTCTCCAAGACCTGTGTCATTCATACAGAGAAACACAGGAGTACAGTTCATGTGACAGAAATGACACCTAGGGCTGCTGAGTTGGCTCACCAAGGAAAAGGGCTTGCGAAGTGTGGTGACCTGATTTTGAGCCCTAGAACCCACATAAAGGTAGGAGGCCAAAAGTTGTCTTCCAGCCTCTGCATGTGAGCCCATGTACACATACACATGCACACATAGACACATACACAACAAATATTGTTTTTTTACAAAAATAACCTCCGCATCTTCAAGTCTTTGATGATGGCAAAGTTCGTGGATTTTCCCAAAACCACAGCTTTTCTTCTGACTTATTATGTTGGAGAAAAGGGAAGACTTGGGGTGGGATATTTTAGATAATCTTTCACCATGGCACTTACTACACAGGCATGGCTGGAGCTCCTGTGGGAACTGAGCCTGTAACATCCAGCTATATATCCTGAAAGGGAAAACGTGAGAGCCAGAGCTCCATTGGACTCACCAGGCATGGACTTGGGTCTTAACCACCTGAGTGCACAGTGGCATTCTGGGACCTTGGAAATCAGCACAAGAGGGTTTGACCTCTCATGAACAGAGATATTGGCTTGCACCCACATTGCAGTTCTGTCTTCCCAAAACAAGAAGTAAGACCTCAGCACTCCCAGGCCAACCCAAACCAAGACCACCCTTCCCTAGATACATGAACGGAGAATGAATCAGCATTGAGACAGTTTATTGGTTTGATTTTTTCCCAGATCATATATTTTAAGTAAATAGATTATGAGGTATAATGTCTTTTCTTCTTCCACAAACAGTAATCAGGCGCTCTCCACCTTACACACATATACAAACACACGCACACACAGAACCAAACAACGTTATACCTGGCTGAGACATTCACATCTTAAAATAGGGGATGGTAACAATATAATTTCCTTTAAAATGCCTTTAATACAATATATAACGTACAAATAATATCTCAATGTATTTGAAGTTACAAAAAAAGCCCACCTCTTGGCAGCAACAAACTTAAATATGTAGGATAGTTACCTCTGGCTATACAACAAGCATTGAACTTTTCCTCACTGGGTTTTGTAAAGTTCAAGTAGTAATGAGGCTTATTAAGCCCTTTGAGAAACCAATTTATGAGCAGGCAAGGCAGTGGCTCAGACCCCTGCCCTGAAGAGTAACAGTCCATACTTGTACTTCTCAGCTTGTGGAGTGAGCCTGGCTTGATCTTGGGTTCCTCTGCCTCCCCTAGTGGCAGCCAGGCAGATCTCTGCAGGTTTGTCTCAATATGCCCCTGTGTGAAGCAGACACCAATGGGACACTCGCTGGACTGTTCATTGCTGCCACCCGTCCCCAGAGGCTGCTGTTGCCTGTGTCTGCTCTTGGGAGGACACCACAGTCTGGGACTGGAGGACCTCTGGCAAGGAACGCCGGCGCCGGCGGCCATAGCCTTGTGGGCTGATCTTGCTTTGGGGGGCCACAGCGTCTTTACTTTTGTCTGTCAACTGGTAGATCCGTTGGGCCAATTTCTGCAGTATGCACGTCCCTAAGCGGCATGGAGAGCTAGGAGAGCTGGGGTTCATCATAGGGCGGTAGTGTTTGAATCCAATATGGGCTATGCTGGGAGTGCTGTGGAGAAAGGACTCTTGAAACTTCACCAACCAGAGCTTTGTTCCTAACCACCTGGGACCAGGGCCATACAGAACCTGAGGGACCTGGGACCTGCTCCCTCCCCTGGAGCTGCAGTCCTGCCTGGACAATCCTCCTGGGGCCAGAGTAGTAGAGAGGGCACATCCTCTGTAGAGGGCATAGTTACCTGGCTTGTGGGGATTTAGATGTGCTCTCCTTGTCCTGGAGCGGAACAAGAGTCGAGTTAAGAACTGTCTCCTCACCAGTGAGTCCAGAGGAATTGGTGCTGGGTGCCTGCAGTTCCCTCTTGCCACTACTTAGCGCCCACTTATTCTGCCTAGAAAACA